TTGACTTGGTTTTCATAGCAAATCAATTTTTATATATTATGAGTAAAATTCCAAGAGTCTGGACTAGAGCAGCTCGCCAGTCAAACCATTTTTTTTCATATCCGTGAAATATTCGAGTATTCTTGATCAAGCGTGTGTATGAGTGATGACAAACATACTGGATGAAAAACAGTACGAGCTACATAAGTTAATAGTATAAGTCTGTTTCGATCACCAGCTAGCGTTAGTAACATACCAGTAGACCTCATCATCTGTCACGACAACGAAAGAAATATCTGTAATGCGTGAAGCCACTGTTAATTAATTGCTATACGTACTTTTCAATTTTTTTTTCAACAATGGGGTTTAGAGTATCTAGCAAAAGAAGCCTGTTGTTCGATACCAGACAGAAAGAGTCTTACTTTACATAAAAGATATCACATATTGTAATTCATCCAAACCCAAAGACATGCTTCTTTATTTAATGGTGTGTTTCGAATACGTCATTACTCTGTATACAACTGCGGACTCATTATAACCTCTATTTTATCGACGGTGGATCTTGTGAATCTTTAGTATTATCTACCATCATATATAGCTATATACTCCCCTTGTTTTGGATGGCGGGGCTAAAGAGTCTTTAGAATTATTTGTTACTGTATATACTCTAGGCCTGTTAGATCTACCATCCAAAAAAAAGGGAGGTATATATCTATATATGAGAATAGATAATTCTAATGACTCTCCAGATTCCCATTTCGATTTGAACTCGAGTACTATTTTTTGTTCTATAAATTCAAATTGAAATTAAATAGACGATTTTATGTCTTAAAATAGCAAAGATTGTACAACAGGTAGGTCCAAAGGGAATCTAAATAGGTAATTTAGATTTAGACATCCTTCATGACAAGGAACATTCGTTCATTCTGAGCAGAATAGCTATTATTATTTTGTTCTAGTTGATCATTTCAAGTATCCTCATTAATATGATATTCATAAGTTCAGTGCATGAGTTGCTTTAATTGTCCACATAAATCATGCAGAAATTCAAGTGCTTGTCTATGAAAAGAAAGTCATGCGCTATAGACACATCTTGAGGCCCGCACAAGTCCAACGCTTGAAAAACAAAAAGTTCGACTTCGATTAATTTCTGTACTTGTAGCTACAAATAATACTATTGAATTCGAGTGTAGGATTGGAAAAATACATCATTTATCCTATATGAATAAATTTGATTAAAGATGAAATATAGAAGATATCGATTGCATGTAATAACGAAAATATTTCTGAGATTCAAATTCAAAGATTGCACTCAACTTATTTTACTATTTGACTGTTTTCAGATATTTCTGTTTTCTTAGGTTTAGAATGATGTTTTTCATATTCTGAGGACATCTATGACAAAAAAAAACCGAAAGTGTCAAAAATTCTATTATTCATTATTAGGAACTTTCTATTTTTTTGTCTACTATTCAAATATCATTCGATCAACAACCTTCGATTACATTTGTTATTTGCTATTATACCAGACTGACTCATTCGTTGGTCATAGACAAAAGAAAGCACAGTAAGAAAGAAAGAGACGTATACAATAGTATAGTTAATTATTTGTCTGCCTAGTTAAATAGTCTTTCTTTATCATTGTTCCACAAATAAATGTTAGTGACTGATTATTTTTCAAAAAAAAAAATCTTTAAACATATAAAGAAAAAAGCTTATATGATTTCACTGCTATTACATTTGTTTTTGCAGTTTTTGTCGAATTTACGTTTTTCTTCTCTTCTTTTAAAGTGTGCATCACTTCAGTGTTGTATACACAAATTCTTTTTTTCAACATGTAAAAGAACAAATTGATGAAAAAAAACAATGTTTTTTACTTTAGATTTTTCCTGTTTTCGATCAACAATAAATGGCAATCAATGCTGAAGGAACATTGAATATTATAGGTAATTTAAATAATATATAGAGTATCCTATCATTAATTAATAATAAGAATACAATTAAATGATAGAGCAAATAAATGAAAGTGTTATTGAACGAATAATCATCGACAATAATTGAATATCATCAGACAGTATGTTTGTTTCTCTATGAATTTCATTTTAATTTTATAATTTTTATTTAGTATTAGTTGTTAATGACACATCTATTTTATTATTTAATGTAAAAACATAAATTCTAACTCCAGTTAGCTATTAGTCTATTTGTTTTTCTTATCATTAAATTGACTTGCTTTAGTTTATTTAATTTTTAAAGTATCATAGAAATGATTCACGATCTAGAACAACTTTTAAATTCAATGATATTTGTAAATGAGATCAAAATTTTATTAAACAATTTTAGATACAAGATGATACACTGATTGATTCTCGTACGGTAAGTTTCTTCTTCGATTTATCGAAATACCAAAAAAAATTCTGCATAAGACAGAGAATTATTTGGATACAAAAACTTGAGTTTGGGTTAGCTATAAAATCATTACAAAATATGATTTTTAAAAAATCATCATCGGAAGTACATGAAATATTGAATATTTCTATGAACTAAAACTTTCCTATAACTATTTGATATTCAATCATGTTTGGTTTTTATTAGTACATTCGAATTTAATATGTCTATGGTATTTGTCATATGATTATTATTATTATTATTCAAGATGATTATGTTTACCTTTGTAAATATCATCACATAAAAAGTTAACTTTTTTTTTTATTTCTCAAATGTCTTATATGCTTTTTTTTATCATTAAATGTCTGTGATTAGTTCGAAAGAATTTTAACATTGAATCTTATCGGTCAATTTTTGTTTTCGAAAATAGTCGAAACATTTCAAAAGAATTCTCTTTTTTTTTCCTTCAGATCCTATATTTAATAAAAATAATGGCAACAATAATACGAAGTAAAGAAAATGATTGTGATTTTTCTTTATTTAAAACACCACGTCATACTCCTATGCGTACACCAAGTAAGAATTTATCTCGAATAAAATCAAATCTTTTTAACGAAATAAAATTATTTCTAGTACACAATCGTATGTTACCATCAGCAACAATAAATGATTTAGCTTATTATTCAAATAATATTAAGAATCTTAAATTGGTTAGTACAACAAGTATGAATGATTTACAATCATGTAATGATACAATGATAACACCAATCCGTTTAAATAAAAATAAGTTTTCTACACCAGGATCTATTCAACGTCGTCGTGCTTTAGGTCTTGTTAATAACAATAATAATCATCACCATCATCAAATATGTCATACATTATCAAGTGATGATCCTTCAACATTAACTACTTTTAAAGAATTAAATAATGAATATGATGAACCTGTCATTCTTCAGGCACCATCATCTAATATGACACATTCTTCTCATATCGAAGATGATCTTCCACATAAATCAAATAATACTCATTCTTATGAAGATACATTTGATGATCTTATACCAACTGATGAACGTATTGAACGTATGATTACAAATCAAACAGATGGTGTTAATTTATTTACCTTTTCTGGTGGTATCGATAATACAATTCGATGTCAATCACCTCACTGTTTTCCTATTGATATATCTTGTCTACTTGATATTCTCAATTAAACATTAATCTCAAAATTATTTTTTTTTTGTCCACATGATAGCAATCAGTTTTTGTCCATAGTCACTCAGATTTTTTTTTTTTTATTTCCACTTAGTTTCGGATCTCAAAAATATGACTATAGAAATGTGTTTTTTTTTTACCTTTTCTTTTTTTTTGGCTGTGTATATGTGTCTTCTGGTCTATTTGTCCATGAGTGTATGCCTGTTTGTGCTTAGAAACTTGTAGAAAAATAACTCTTATGAATTATTCCAAGAATAAATCTTCTTTTTATAGATTGTAGAAAAAAAAA